ATCCCATCAGTGAACAATCCGCCCCACCGATCTCGATTTTAAAACATTGGTTCCATCTTTTCCTAGGATGCAACGACCGTAGCTTTACAATTTTGCTCCATCTACCATGGATGAGGCGCAATCAAATAAGTTTTCTTTTACGTTAAAGCCGAGAGAGAGGGTTATAACCTTGGGAAAGATTAATTCTCCAACTCATATATGATACGAGTAGATTATGTTAATGCAAAATATATAAAATTGACATGGAAGAAAACCAATTAATTTGTTGATGAGAATTAACATGAAGCATATAAATTAGCTTTGAATGGCTTTACATTGCTTCAACCAGTAATACAAATGAACTCCCAAAATATCAACTCTAGTTCTAAATCCCATACTGACCGTATTTATAGCTGAAACCTTAACAAACCCACAAAAGTCTTACTCATGATATAATTGAAACTTCTTATTAAAACAAAATCTGTAATAACTTTAACCCTGATAAAATAAATATTTCCAGAAGGATCAACTGTTTTCTCCAAACATCCCCTAAAATCGTTAAAAAAAACTACAAAAAATCTTAGAATTCTAGAAAAAACTTAAAAACCAAAAAATAAACACTAAAAAAACCAAAAATGTATCTGTAACATTTAATAGAAAATATTCAAATATAAGAGGCTACTCATCCTACATCAAACTCCCCCAATTGGAAAAAACTCTTACTTGAGTTTTGAAGTGTGGGAAGATGTATTCTCCATCGAATCCACAATCATTTTCAACCCAAATATTGTGCATTTAGGCTTGATCCTAGGGTATGTTGGGTTATGGGTAGCAAGAAAGAGTCCTTAAGAAACGGATCTTGATTTATACAGTGAGGAATTGATATAAATTTATCAAAGTCAACTATCTTTGACTCGGACTGCATATGGTTTAGTAAACTTTAGACTCAAATTTTGAATCTTTAGAGGATTTTTCTAAGAAAACCAAGAGGCCAAATTGGGCTTAGATATGGCAGAGCTTTGAATAAGCTTTCCAACAAGTACTAACAATAGCAATTCTGAGTTACGAGTGAAAGATTGTGCTCTATTGAATGTACAATGCTCAAAATTACCTCAACTATCACTTGAATCTCAGTATCAAGGGAAATATCATCAACCACTTGGTGTCATCCTCTATGGCACAAACATTAGCAGAAAATCCAGAGAGTTTGAGATCCTATAGAGCCCCGTGATCATCTTTCTCTTTCTATAGTTCATAGAATTCTAATTCGAGGTGGATGTGAACTTTATAATAGCGTTTATAAAGTACTTGGTAATAGTGCCTTCGACGCTCAATTCAATTAAATAGACTTGTTAAATTTACATTGGTTTAAGCCTGTTGAAATCGTCTCGGTTTAGTCCTAGAGCAAAGCAAACCAAGAACTTATTCTTCATCGAACCTTAGATTTTCGCCTATGGTTTCCATGATAGATGAAGATCATAGCGTTTCCTCACTCACCTAACCATCCATGGTTTCTAGGTTCCCGTCAACAATACCATGTTCTTCATCCTCTTCATAATCTAATCTTTCCTGCTTGAACTCCATCCATTCACCTAAAATCGAACTTTCTGAAAAATCCAAATTCTTACCCAAGCACGTGTCAAATATTGACAGCAAGTCCCAATCTACAACATGCTGATTTTTAAACAAATTGATGAGAATAAACGTTCTCTATGGTCTCTCATTAAGATCATGCACATATCTGCGCACACAGGGAGATCACCTCTCCCGGGGTTGTAAGGTGAATTAAACTCCATTGAACCTAACCTATCATTGTGATTGGATTCAAACCCGCCAATGTCATGAAAAATTAAAACATTGATAGAGTGGATTGAGTACACATCATGTACCATATTTAACATATCTCCCATGTCAATTTCTCCACTCTCGTTTTCCAATCATTGAATTCCTGCCGTGGTACTTCAACAACAACACCATTACCAGCACCACCACCACCACCACCACCAACTCGGCATTCCAACCTCTTGTAATAGTGGCTCCTCAGGCACTTTGGGAAATGTCTTCTGTAATACCAACTAATGCAAAAGAAAAAACTTTACAAGGGAAGAAAACCAAATAATCTACTAAGAGAATTAATGAGGAAGCCTACAAGTCGGACTTCAATGGCTCTTTACTACGTCAACCAATAATAAACTAAATCGCCAAAACTCATCTCTATTTGTAAAATCCCCTATGTATAGCTAAAACCTTAACCCTAGAAAATCATAATTCTTATATAATTAAAAATTCTAATTAAAATACAATAAAATTCCTAATAAAACTTTTGCGCATCATAAAATAAATAATTTGACAAGGACTCCAACTACTTTTTCCAATAGCCCTAAAATCCTGAAAAATAAAAGAATCCCAAAATCCCCCAAAAATTAAAAAACTTCCAAAAAGCATATCCCTAATATCTAATACAACAAATTTCTAAAATAAAGAGCATCATGTCTTGCATCACCTATATGACCCCCTGAGAGAGAGAGAGAGAGAGAGAGAGAGAGAGAGTATGCTACGTATGAACTTGGGAAATATCAACACCTTCAATTCAGATGAATAGACACATTGTGGAGGCTTCCCACAAATGATAATGAGGAAGTGATTTTCATCCTCCATAACTTCTGCTTCATGTACAAGGGACATGAGGAGATTGATAACCTCTGTTTGTTTAGGCCAAGCATCATAGGCAAATGGCCACAATCTGGTGCTTTCCACGGTCTCTCCCAGTACAGCTAAACCAATGGTCATCCCCTAAAGCTTAAAAAAAGTGGGTGTATATTTTGGAAATCCATATCAATAGCTGTAATGTTGGATTTATGGAAAGAATAATTATTCTTCCTATGACAGCAAAATGGCCTCTAGTTCGAAAAGAATGTTGATACATTGGTAGGCAAGACATCATCATAAATTTCAAATAGGCAGCGTCGAACTCACATAGGCATATATTATGGACAAGATGGATGCCCCCTCCGGAACAAAGCCTCCAACTGAAATTTTGATAGAAGCTCTCTACGAAACCTCAACAGTGTTGATACTGGAGCCATACTTAGAGACCATAGAGGCAGGTGATGCTTCATCATGAGGGGCATGGTGGCAACACAATGGCCATTGAAGCTACGTCACGAGGCTTACCGCAGACCTAATAGGTGACCTAAGATAATGATTCCTGAAACGTTACCAGGTGGCGTACAGAGGATAATCATCGCTGTGTAGATTGACCCCCATTTTGAGGGAATTCAAAGACGAGAGAGAGAGGAGGTTAAGGCAACTCACTGGTACAAAGAAGCTAACAAGGAAGTAGATGATCGGGCCAAAGGAGGTGTTGGCCATTCAAGTTTGATAGTAACTCGATTTGAATTACCAGAAGAAAGTTTTTAACTCGATTTGATTTCGCAGATGAGAGTTTTTGTGCACATGGAAATGCATATACTTGTGTACGTGTAAATTTAGAGGGTATTGATGAAAGGTTTAAAGTTGATATTAAACATAGCAAAAGACAAACCTGGATACAAAACTCGCATTTGATTAGGAATTGTGTACTATGAAATCATTCATCTTTGTTACAAGAAGGTCACAATTACTCCTACTCATTAGATGTCAAATTGGATAGCTTAGGTGTGTGACAAAATTTGAGAAATTCTTTTTGAACTTTGAGTCCAGCGAATAACACTCTTACAATCGCCCCATTTAAAAGACCTCTTTGTATCAAAAGTAAATAATATCTTTATATACTTTTGGTTTTAAGCCAAAAATCTAGTGCTTTATCATATGCTCTTAATTTGGAAGTATAATGCTTAGCCTTAAGATTGCCGAATTAACATCCCTTCTCAATTTTTTCTTTTTAAAAAAGGGCCAACTTTAAAACCATATTTGAATGCAATGGAGCAGACAATCCAATCAACAAACACCATACCAATTTAGCACATCTAAAATGGATGTATCATCTAAAACAAGAAAAAAGATGAAATGAATATCGCGACTATTTGAGAATGGGAATGGGGCTGGGGTTGTAGTCGTAGCACCATGTAAGCCCTAGCAAAAGTCTAAGCTTCCATTCTCACCTAGCACTTTTGAAAACCACTTAGAATTTAAAAAACGGGTCCTTTGAAAACCACTTAGAATTTAAAAAACGGGTAAGGGGATGTATTCCTACTGAACTATCCAAAAAAGAAAAAAAATATATAGCCACCATTTAAAAAGTAGATTTCTGTAATTTTCCTCCACTTTCAAGAACACCATATCATAAACAACATAAGTATCCATGTAGCAGAAATTAAACATTTCCAAATCACTATGTGAGTACTCTTTTTAGTTTTTAAGAAGATTGTAAAATCTCTCTCTCAAAAACAAAATAGCAAACTATTGAAAAGACTCAACCAAATGTATACCACCCTGACAAAGTAGAGACTAAACATTAGTTTGAAAACCCAAAATCAAAAGGTTCAAAATAAAGGAAAAGCTTTCTATATGCCACCAAGTATAGGAAATTTATATACCCTCTCTCACCACCTGATCTGAATGGATGGCTAGGATGGCCCCAATCCCAATATCAGGCCTAAATACTATTTTATTTTATTTTTACAAATCATATCGACACCAAATTTTACTTTTAGAGATATTTTGGTCATTTGTTTTTCTGAAAATATTTTTTTGACACTTTCATAGGCGCGCGCCATTGATGTCACACACCAAATTTCATGTTCATATGACATATAAAAAAATTTTAAAATAAAATATTGTGAGACATCAGATCCCGATGAAATGGTGAGATGTTCATTTGTGACACTATTGTTGATTCCATCCCAGCCATCCCTTCAGATTAGATGGCTAGGAGAGAGTGGCATATATAAATTCCCTATGCCTAGCAGTATATAGAAAGCTTTTCCCAAAATAAAGGAGGCTGTCAATAGTTTAAACTTCGAAACATAGAGGTACTAAATGCAATGCACAATATAGTTCGGGAAAATTCGAGGGGCAAGTGAAAAGAGATGACTGAATTTACTGCTGTTTACACAAGGAACCTATACAATATCATGTGACACAAGCAATGCCATTTTGGCCACCAAAAAAAAAAATCAGATAAGTAAACACAGAAAAGAAATGGAGATAAAGGAAATAACACAAATTTAAGTTAATTACAAAAAAAATATTTACACTCACAGGCATCAAATGTGAATATATGTACTAGCCCAGTGCTAATTTCCAGCTTTGAATGGCACCCTTCAGTTATATCAAACCTCCAGATTTTGCAGAGACATAGATCACATATCCACTGAAGAGGCTCCCTAGGAAGTACGACAAAGAAGATAAAATTTATTTTGCATACAACTCTCATGATTATAGAAACAGCATCAAAGCCATTGAGGTCCCCTTTCGAGTTTATGAATTTTGTTTTTTTTTTTCTTAGAAGTAATCTTGGAGGTTATTTTAATTCAGAAACTTTCATCCAATCTTCCACATTTTACATCTCGGAAAAGTTTTCACCAGGAACAGATACATAAAATTTTCATTTAGGCAGCCTCATTGAGCCAAACAAATCTCCTAATAATGTGTTTTCTCACATCAGAAAAGAAAGAGAAGCCAAAGTCCAAAATTTTGGATCGTTCATTTACGGGGGGAAAAAAAGAAAAAAAGAAAAAAAACCACTGGCTCTAAAATAGCTTAAGAAAAGGCACTTTGTGATGTAGATGTTCTAAGTCAAAACCTAGTGAAATTTCCATTGAATTTCACACCATAATGGCCAAGACAGACGAACCATGACACCTAGTTCAATCTCCACAACAGTTGACAGTTTAAAACTTGATATTCATGAAAAGAAATTTGCCAAAACTATAACCCACAATTGCACTATAGAAACCAAAGTGTGAGAGTAATTCGGTCATACGGACAACGGAATTCACTGGGGTCACTAATGTCCATTGAAATGATGAACAATGGAGAAGATGACAGAGTGCAACCCACCTCACCAGAACAGGACGAGACTCCAGTGGTGGGCCCTACCTCCTTTCATGACTACCCCTCACTTCATTCAACGGTCATGGACACCAGCACATGACTTTTTCATAGATTAATGGAGGACTAAGTATATTACGATCAAGATGACCACAGAAAAGCTACGGTTACAAGTATTGACTAATCAATTATCATTGGTAGATGGTGATGGAAAGAGAGTGAAATCCATGAAAGCATGGCCCTACCAAAATGGTAGATCCTACTCCCTCCCCACAACACCCAAACAATTGAAAATTGAGTGACCAAAGCTTTCTATGATCACATGAGAAAACTTTCCCTAATCAAAGTATCTTTAACTAATTATCCTCGGCGTGTGTTCACTAGACGCATCTTTGATTCGTATATACTAGAGATACTAACCTTGAATAATAAATCATGTGCAAGATTTTCCCATGGCAACGAAATGGACATTAAGCAACACTTCAGGGGTAACATTCCATGGTCTGATTTCTTTGTGGAAGAGGCAGCAGCATAAGCCTGCTTTGCCGCTACGGAAGCAACTGTAGCTGCTTTACGAACCATGGTCCCAATACCAATATGTAAGCCTCTTTTAGACATTTGAACTGGGGAAGGAGGCCCGGACATCTGTGCACTCTGGTCTACAACATAAATAGAAGGTTAATAGCTGACATGTCATATCATGCGCTTAGAAACAGAAAATTGTTCAAATAATTCCAGTTATATATTGGGCCTCATTTCTCCAAATTCTGAAAAGCTTGCTTAGTTATTTTTAACATGTCTAGAGAGTTCTGACCTTTAGGCTCCTTAATGAGCAACCAAAAGACACGAAGTTTCCAAAAAAATGCCAATCTAATTGTCTTGTTTCAATCCAAAGATACAAACCTAGTAAACCAAATACATTGCCAAATACCTCCCAAACTCCCCCACATAACTGCAGATCATAAATTTGGTCACGCAAAACATACAAAAACATCCTACTTGAAAAACAACCAACAAAAAGCATGTGAGATGAATTGCCCATCTACATAAGTGTACTCACGTAGTTTATACCTGCATATTTGCAATTTATACCATTTGTTTGATGCCTTGTGCTCATACCCTAGGTCGTAAAATCTAGTACAACAGTAACCCTTAGACCAAATGACCCAATTACCACTTAATCTATAAACATACAGCAAATAAATTGAGCATTGTTCAAAAAAGCGGACTGCCCAGTGCCTAGGCGGCCAAACTGGGCGGCCGCCTAGGCAATACAAAACTTGCCTAAGCGGGCGCCCGGCACCCGACACCCGACCCTGGGCGACCACCCAAAGCTTGTGCCCCACCGAGGGGCAGAAATTTTTTTTTTTTTCGTTGTATTGATTTTTTAACAACATAAAGGGTTTTAAAGATGAATTTTAGGTTCATTTGAAACTTAAACCCACAAGAATCCATTTTAGAGAGAAAGAAACCTCAAAAAAACTAAATTTTGTGACTTTCATTAGATCGAAGTGTTTTTCAAAGTTACAAAAAACAGATCCAAACATCACCCAGATAGATTTGATTTAGTTTTGGAGTTTTATAATCCTATCAGATGGTGTTTTTTATTATTTTAGCAACGGAAAACATCTCAGAGGTGGGGAGTTTGGAGTTCGAGCAATCAAAGTAAGTGCAAAACTTTATTTTTTAGATTGCTTGTTTTATTTTGAATTTTCGTATATTTTCTTTTTCTTATTTTTAGTTTCTACTTTCTACTTTCTAGTTCTACTATCTAACTTTTATGTGTACAGTCTACAGTGTATCAGACTATCAGTGTATGCTTGTATGGTTTTACTATTTTAGCATTGGACGAAAATATGGATTATGGTCTTATGGATTATCAAAATTCTCTCATTGACTTCTATCTTCTTTTTTTTTAACTGGGATTATGGTCTTATGGGTTATCAAAATTCTTATGGATTATGGTCTTATGGATTATCAAAATTCTTATGCATTAATCATTATCAGTCATCAGTTTTTTTTTTTGTTCAACTGGGCCACCAAGGTTCTGGGTGCCTGCCTAGGCGCGGGGCAGCCTAGACCCCCATGGCCGCCTGGGTGCTGCCTAGCGCTTTTTGAAACACTGAAATTGAGTTAAACAAAAGAAACCTTCTATAGCAGTGAATAAGACCCTTGCACTGTATATTATTTTATCCCAGCTATAATAGTACATGGACCATAATTATCAGGTATCAATAGAGGTTCATCCATCTGAAAGATAGGAATATAAAAAGGTGAGTACTAGCACAACCCAGCGTGATCACCTAAAGAAGCTAAGGCCAGTTATTTTTCATCTCCATCGTCTTTAAATTCTAATTATATAGAAATTAATTGTACATGAAAAATCCAAATTTTGATTTTAGTAACTCTCAATAATTCAAGCAAAGTTGAACCTCTAACCTGCAATGCCAGAGACAGCAACTTCCACTTCTCCTCGCCCTCCAGGCCCTCTCATGTAAAGCCTCTCAACTTTTGCAGGGAGGTTCCCAATAGACAGAAGGCTTCCAAATCTAGACTTCCCAGCTGCAAATATAAAAAGTAGCATTCATTAGTTATTACTAGTTATGCAATATAGTTCCTTAATCAAACAAATCCAACTATCAAAACATATGATTATATGATCTTAAGGTAGGTGCATATAATTTGCCACATGCTGATGGCAAGAGTAAGAAAAGAAAATAATTCATTATTCATAGTTCTCCGTAGAAAGGCATAAACGGCCCCATGGTAAATGAGGGATGAAACAATGTCACTAGCTGGAGGACAAAATATTTGACTATTGCATATAGAGTGGGTTCGCATGGGGTTTTAGAAATTAGAAATTAGAGAGCGTAAGAGACTTTGAAAAAATGAAGTGCTTTTAGAAGATGAGGGCATAGAGTGCATGGGGATTTAGAGAGCATTGAGAGTCTTTGAGAAGCGAAGAGCTTAAAGAGTAAGGTTTTTTTTTTTTTTTGAGAATGTAAAAGTTTTAGGAAATCCAAAGGTTTAGAGGACCTAAAGAAAAGTTTAAAGAATTGAGAGTTTTGAGAGAGGACCGGGCCTGGGCCGGAGGCTTGAGTCCTTAACGTTGAGAGAGAGAGAGAGGAGATGGAAAAGGGGGAGACGGACCGGCAGTTACTGCCGGCCTGAGCAAGAGGGGACATGGGGAATACATGAGAGGGAGAAGAGACAGGCAACAAAGAGAGGGACCGGCAATTGATGCCGGTCCAGGTAAAATGGCGAGAAGTGAGAGAAATAAGGAAGAGAGAAGATGCGGACTGGCAATGACTACCAATCCAGATGAAGGGAAAGGGGGTGGACTAGAGAAAGGGAGAGAAGAGACACTGCCGGTCCGGACGAGAGGGGAAAAGGAGAATATAGGAGAGGAAGAGATGGGAAAGAGAGAGATGGAACGGCAGTGGATGCCGGTCCAGATAAAAAGGGGAGAAATAAGAAAAATAAGGAAAAGAGAAGAGGCGGAACAGTAGTGACTGCCGGTCTAGACCAAGGGAAAGGGGGTGGACGCGAGAAATGGAGAGAAGAGACAGACCGGCAGTGACTGTCGTTCCACAAGAGAAAAAGGGTAAAGGGGGAATGAGAGAGAAAAGGGGCGGACCGGCGGCGACTGCCGGTCCAGACGAGGGAGGAAGAAGAGGAAGACGAAAGAGAGAAAAGGGACGGACCAATGATGACTGCTGGTTCAGACAAGAAAGGGAGAGTGAGAGGAGCGTGTGAGAGAAAAGAGACCGGTAGTGTCTAGACGAGGAAGGAAGAGTGAGAGGAGTGAGTGATAGAAAAGAGAAGAACCGGCAGTGACTGCCGGTCTAGACGAGAAAGGGAGAGTGATAGGAGCAAATGAGAAAAAAGAGACATACCGGCTAACTGTCGACCCAAACGAGGAAGGAAGAGTAAGAGGAGTGTGAGAAAAGAGACGAAACGGCAGTGACTATCGGTCCAGACAAGAAAGGGAGAGTGAGAGGAGTGACTGAGAGAAAAGAGACGGACCAACAATGACTGCTAGTCCAAAGATAGAGGGCAATGAGAGATAGAAGAGACGGATCGGTGGTGGGTGCCGGTCCAGACAAGAGAGAGAGAGAAATGGAGTGAGGTGAGATGTGAAGGTCTGAACCGGCGGTGGCTACCAGTCCAGGCTAAATAGAGAGAAAGAGAGTGAGATGGGAGAGATGAGAGGGTTTGAACCGGCGGTGGCTGCTATTCTAGGCAAAAGAGAGAGAAAGAGAGTGAAATGGGAGAGATGTGAGGGTTTGAACCGGCGGAGGCTGTCGGTCCAAGAATGAGTGAGAGAGACAGAGTGAAATGGGGTTGGGCCAGCAGCGACCGCTAGTCCAGGGAGCAGTGAGTGAGATGGGGATTATAGAGGGCTTGGACCAGCGGTGGCTGCTGGTCCAGGTAAAGGTGAGAGAAAGAGTGAAGTGAGGGGTGTGAAGGTTTGGACCGACGGTGGCTGCCGGTCAAGGCAAGGGTGAGTGAAATGAGCGGCGCGAGGGTTCAGACTGGCAACGGCTGCCGGTCCAGAAGAGAAAGAGAGACGAGGAAGAGATGGGGTTGGGTCAGCAGTGGCTGTCGGTCCAAAGAAGAGTGAGAAGGTATGGGGGCAGTGCACTCAAGCTTAATCAGTCTTTTTGTTAGGTCAGGGGGCTCATCTAGGTCACGTCCTATCTGAGCTTGTCCCACAGCACATGTGACTACATGAATCCCCCAAGGTGACTTGGGCTTGCCAGGCATCTTTTGGTCGGTCTTTCCCTTAAGGGAGATGCTGCCCGATTTTCTTTTGATCGTGTTAGGCTCTTGCCTCTTTTCTTGGCAACATTCCTAACATGGTTTTTTTTCTTCTTTCTCTCGTTCAGCCAAGGAGCCTGAGAACGAGATTATTAGGGACAAGAAGTTCCCTAAGGCACATGAGATCGGTACTGAAGTCTACACCGGATTTTCCCTAGCCAGAGGGCAACCTCTTCGAGATATGGACCCTTCCTACCATTTAAGATGGCCTTTCACCATTACCTTCGTGGGTGACGATCCACGATTCCAAGTCCGTACAAACGAAGAAGGGAGGCCGATAGCTGAGGGTGATGGAATGTCCATGTTTCATTTCCTTCACTGTAATTATGACTTAGCCTTGAATCTCCCCACACTGTGCAAGAGAATGCTGACGGATGAGAAGTTGTTCTGGTCCCTTGGGGGGTTGCGGTTCCAAGGTGAGCACCAATACTTGAAAGGCTACGTGTCTTGGACCCTTGACATATTGGAGAGCTTCGAAGAAGATCTCAATAAGGCCTCTCTTGTAGCAGCCGTGCAATGCTCGGCAGGGTATTATGACCGGCGCTCAAACATGATGCTGGCCTTCCTGGACTCTTGGAGCTACAAGAGTAACTCATGGCTTCTCAGTCATGGAGAGGCTGGATACTCGCTTCTTGACCTCCAATTCTCCGGGGGTTTGTCGATGCTAGGGTTGATGTATGACAAATTCGTTCTTGAGAACGATTTCATTTTTGGGAAGGGGCGGACCCTACCCACCGGGCCTTCGAGATCTCTTTCAGATCTATCAACTGCTATGCTCAAAGGTGAACAACGGGCATGTGTCTTTTTCAACATCGTTTCACTTCTTTCGGGGTGACCAGACAGAGGTCAATGAACCCGGTTACGGCATCGTTGGGGGAAAGGGGAAAGAGGCCACCGAAGATAATGTAGCCCCCTCGTCCTTCCATGGAAAGAAGGATCACGTATACCTAGCGGCTTATCTTGCAATCTTCCTATGCAAATTCGTCCTCTCCGGATAAACTAGTGACTTCATTCGTCCGGGATGCCTTTTCGCCGCTTGCGAGCTAGCTGTGGGTCGCACATATGCATTGGCTCAATCGGTATTGTGAAGCATATGCCATGGCATGGGTGCCATAGCCTGGGGTAGGCTGAAAAAGAATAAGCACGGGCAATTGCTAAATGGCGAGGCTCTACCCGAGAGCTTTAGGACTGCATTCCCGATCCATTTAGTGTTCGAGTGGCTATCAGCTTTCTTCCTGGAGACTTATGAGGTGAATCCAGCCCTGTCGGATTACAAATGTCCCCACCTTCTAAAGATTGTCAGAATGCAAGCAGTCTTTCGTACCCCTGGTGCAGCTCGCGGTCTCTTTGGAGGGGGTCTTTCTTTGCCCGTCCGGTCCCCTTCCCAATCGACGGTCCCACTGCAGAGCTTTCTTGGACGAGTTCGAGAAATCACTTGACGGTGCCACGACCGATACCCCAGAGCTCATGTATCTATTGAGTGTAAGGGAAGGCATTCTGGCTCTTCGAGCATCATGGGGGAAGCAGCTCGAGTTGTATTACCCCCATAGATTTGCGCGCCAACATGGGCTTGACCAAGGGTGCTCGTACCATGTTTTGTTTGAGAAGCAGTGGGGCAAGATAGGGCGAAGAAGGATAAGGATGCCCCCAGGTCGAAAAGGGAGTCTTGGAAGGACATCCATGAGGCGGGCTTGGGCCATGGTCCTCGAGTTCTCAGAGGAGAACAAGTTTGTCGTGCCCCATTACGGTCGCAAGGCGCGTGCGACCGAGGTTTACAGGCACTGGTAGGAATGCACCAACCACTATTGGAGAAAAGACCACAAGTGGAAGACATTAACTGCGCTTCCAAGGGGGATACTGCTCATGGGAAGGACATCCAGCCCATCCCTTACCCAAATGTTTTTTAACTTAATTACCCACGGGATTGGAGATAGATTGGCGTGCGCCGGGGCCTATTGGTAGATAAAGAGACACCCTAGGCCCTTGTCCTTAAGGGCACTACTGGTTCACTTTTCGACGACCTATGCTCCCTCCTCGAGTGGAAGGCTGGGCGTGTTGTTAGGGGTGTTGAAGATTGGCGTGTTGTTAGGGGTGTTGAAGATTGGCCCACTCGGGATTTGAACGCTCTGATAGGCAGTGGCCCTCATTCTGCTCCCGAGGCCATTCGTCCCTATGACAGCCACGATTTGAGCCTCATGCTTAAGTCTTGGAAGGAGGTGAGAGTAAGGGATGCAGCAGCCAAGAAAGCGAAGGCCGAAGCTGCCGCTGTCATCTGCTACGCAGTCTGCAGCAAAGAAGGCTACTGTTGAGCCACTCACCACCACACCCGTGATCACACGGAAGAGCACTCGTTCAAGGAAGAGCACTCAACCAGTAGAGGCCACGGAGGAGGAAGATGTTCCCTCAAGTTCCCCAACTCCAGCTTTGGCTCCTAATCTACCCCCCAAGCCACGCAAGCCCGCGAAGCGCGCTAGATGGGCAGTTTCTTCAAGTCCTTCCCCTGTGCTTGAGCCCCTTGTAGCTCAAGAGTCCCCAGCTCGACGGGTTACTTTTCACCCTACCCTAGCTGAGGTAGATTGCACAGTTGCGGGGGAGGCTACTCATACTGAAACTGAGGTCCCTAACACGGAGGCAACCCCAATTACTGAGGCTGGTGTTGACAGGACCGAGGCCGATGAGCGGAGTGAGGGTATGGCAGCTCTTTTGAGGAGCGACAGGATGCCAGTCTTATCACCAATACG